AGATTAGAGGCGTTACAAGAGCGCAACAAACATAAAAAAGAAGAAGGGGCGAAAACGACAATAAATGTTTGATAGGAAAGAAGAAGCAAACCACACCAGAGCACCGGCCAACCACCCACGCGTATGTGTTTGTGAATGAGGAAGTTTGTTCAGAACTGAACAGACGAAAGCAACACGAATTATGGAATATCTGGAGAAGAGAACACAATATCAAAGGCAAGGAACAGTCCCACGTCATAGAGAGAAGGGGGGGGGAGACAGAGAGAGAGAGAGAGAGAGGAGAGAGAGAGAGAGAGAGAGAGAAAGAGAGAGAGAGAGAGAGAGAGAGAGAGAGAGAGAGAGAGAGAGAGAGAGAGAGAGAGAGAGAGAGAGAGAGAGAGCGTGAATGAGTCAGAGACAGACGCGAGGGAAGAAAAAGAGGAGATAAAGACTGAGACTGAGACAGAAAGACACAGAGAGACAGAGACGGGGGTAGAGAAAGAGAGATAGAGAGTAAACATGATACCTGTCTTAAAGCACGTGCCACCTATAGGAGTTTGTTGTGTTAGGTGCCTCAATATGAATGGGCGGATCTATAGATAGAAACAAACCCATTACCTCACACCTTTACATCACCAAACCTGTGACATTTTGGCAGCCCGGACGAGATGAATGTGCCTGTGTACCTACATGCACTGCCTTCATGCCATCTTTAGCGACATTCATACATTGATGTATTTTTACGTTTAGTTTTAGTTTTATGAGGATTTTTTTTTACGGCACTTGCAATAAATTATGTCTTACAAGTTTAGACATTTTGGCAGCCCCATCGGCACTTGCAATAAATTAGGTCTTATAAATTTAGACATATAGGCACAGTCTCACTGAGTTAAATGTATATAAAGATCTATACCTTCATGCACTGGCTTCGTGTAAATCTTTCCCTACAGTCATACATGTATTTTTATGCTTAGTTTTAGTTTGATGAGGATTTTGTTTACGGCACTTGCAATAAATTAGGTCTGATAAGTTTTGACATTTTTGGCACAGTCTCACTGAGATAAATGTATATATAGATGTATACCTTCATGCACTGGCTTCATGAAATCTTTAACAACACTCATACATGTATCATAATGTTTAGTTTTAGCATTAGAGTTCTACGGCACTTGCAACATCAGAGCAGAGGAATAGAGGTGTTACAAGAGAGAAGCAAGCAAAGAAAAGAACGATATTGAAGTATGAAAGATGTTCGACAGTTTCATTGAAATTATTAACAAGTATACCAACACGCACTGCATTTATGCAATCGTTACCTACATATTATTATGTATCCTATATGCAATAATAATATATATATATATATATATATATATATATATATATATATATATATATATATATATATATTTATAAAAATAAATATACACATATATACATATATCTATATATATATACTTAAAAAATATATAGACTAAAATATATATTTCACTATGTTTTATGTTTTAGTTTTTAGTAAGAATTAAACGTCACTTGAAACATAAACAGGTCACACAAGTGCCGAGAATTGGAGGTGTTAATAAAAGAGTAACATACACAGAAAAGAAGAAGATATAAGCAGTTTAGACGTTTGGTAGGAAAAAAGGAGCTTACCATGTCAGAGCACCCGTCACCCGCCCACTTTGACATTTTGGGACAGTTTTACAGAAATGAAAATAAATACATAATTATTACGCATACATTGCGCTCATGCAATCTTTACTTCAACTCAAGCTTGTATGTGGGCGGTGTTACAGGTACTTTGTTCCTTTCTTCCTATCAGACATAATATATCGTCCTGTATCTCTCCACCTTTTCTTTAGTTCAGTTTTTTAGTAAGAGTTTTACGGCATTTGCAACACAATGAGGTCAAATAAGTGCCGAAGATTAGAGGTGTTACAAGAGAGTAACAAACACAAAAAAGAAGGAGGGAGATAAAGACGATAGATGTTTTACAGGAAAAAAGAAGCCAACCACAGCAGAGCACCCGTCAACCACCCACTCCTTTTGTTTGTATGTTACTCTCTTGTATGTAACGCATCTTATCTTCGGCACTTGTGTGGCCTATAATTTGTGTTGCAAGTGCCGTAAAACCACCAACAAAACAATAATTCTACTGTATTCGTTTCGGTAGTGGATCCCTGTACGCAATGTTTTGTGTGTGTGTGTGTGTGTGTGTGTGTGTGTGTGTGTGTAGGGGGGGGTTGCATGTCTGTCTGTGGTTGTTGTATGTGCCCACGTGCGTGTGTTGCTGCTGTCAGTGAAAACATCAAGCACATTAACCTATGGGCACAGATGTACATATGAGAAAATTATACGTTTATACCACAGTACAAGAGGGTGCCGCGGTGGAGTAGTTAGTGCGCTCATCTCCGAAGTGAAAAGTCCGGGTTCGAGCCTCGTTTCGGACACATATATTTTTTGCCCCCTCCTGCCCACCCAGCAGTAATGGGTACCTGACTAGGAGTCGGGGAAGAAAAGGCCACACGGAAAGGAACTGGCTATCCTACCACAATATGCTTAAGACACAGGAAGTTTTCTCACTCAACAAGGCAATCCCCAATGTCCGGATCGGATGCGGGAAAAAACTTTTACCGCAGTACATTAGTTACCATTTCAGGAAGCTTTCACTCAGCACCATCATCTTTCCTTTCAATACCCCCCCCTCCCCGCTTTCCACACCCACCGTTCCCACCTACCACTTCCTGCCCCAAACTCTACCTGAGTATTGAAAATAACAAAAAAAAACA